CAATATTTTATGTTCATAGAAGATGGGTGGCAGCATCTTCCTGAACTCAAAATAAAAAAAATGCGTTTGCCAACCCGTTTGCCAAGCGTGGCAACTATGCCAACATTGCCCCTATGAGGCAATCTATGGGGGAGGCATATAACAATTGACTTTTCGGTCAGATGGATGGATCAGATCGCTAACTACCAATCGCTAGAATTGTTGATAAAAGAATTACGAGCGTTTCTCCAAGTTGGATGAAATTGTTATAGTTAACTATGGCAGTACTAGATATTATTTCCTTGTTTTGTTGATGACTTTCGAGTCTTGGAACACCAAAATATTCTGCAAAAGTAAATACGACGAGAGAAAAACTTATTGGAAAACCGGATACAGTGCCTTGAGTGGTTTACGAGATACTCACAAAAGTGAACAGAGCGTTGACCCAGTTAAAGTGCCTTTGAATGCTGTCACGCAGTAAATTTGTTGCTTTCGCGAAATATCTCTCAAAAACACAGTTATTTTGTATAAAATCCCTACGAAACCGGTGTCGAAAAACTTTCGAAAACCTTTTAGACAGTATTTACATTACTATGAGAAAATTTTGGAAAATGGTTTTCAAAAGCAGCAATAAAAATATATGGAGTCTTTATTTTTTATTCAGTGATTCTATATTTATAATCTTTACTGTGACTGTATCGTGTAACTTCTGAACGACTAAACTGAACAAGGTCAAATTTACATAATAAAAATATATTTATTTACACTCACCAACACTCCCAAATGTGGGAAGTATGGGCAAGTTGGCTTCTTAGTAGAGAAGTGGCTTAAACGCTTGGCTGCAACTTATTGAGGGTTTTGGATGATTGTCCATGTGTTTTTAATATATTTAATTTTGTGTATAACGCCGCGCCGCCACGATACAGAAGAAAATCTTATCTTTGCATTTACAATTATTGGTAATGGTGAATTTCTTTTGTTTATCTTTCTATTTCCATTTTTGCCTGACTTTAACGAGTATTTTAATTTTAACTTTTATTATTTAATTATTTATTTATTTTAACTTTAACTTCCCTATACGATGTAATATTGAAATTTGTATTAAAATATTTTATTATCAAATATTTCTGGACTATTAATGTTATGTGTAAATAAAAAATATACCCAAATACTTCTTAGTTAACCGAGGAAGAAATGTGGTTTAGAACGCTTATATGTATGTGGTAGCGCCATGCTTCAGCTATATTATGGTTGTTGCACGAATGAGTATGTTTGCTCGACCGGAGAAGGACCACGCTCTCACAGAATACTAGCGTAAAATAGCAGGTTAGTGTTACTGTGTTTCTTATGGTGAGTGTAGAGAAACGGAAACCCTATTCCACACAACATATCTAATGGAATGGAAGCTGGAAACGAGTCATTCCATCTTAGTCATCAGAGGTAATAACGCTTCTACATTTTGATTCTTAATCTAGGATAAAATAAAGTTGCCTATGGTCTACAATATCCACTTAATATCTGGCGGAATCTTGCTCGTTTAACATCTTCATTATCAAATTTCATCACGAAGGAAAACTCCAAATACAGTTCCATAAGGCTATTTACCTAATAATTAAATGAAACTTTTTTAAGCTTAGCTTAGAAATTTTCATATTAATCAATACGAAAATGCATGTCGGATACATTTTGACAGAAGTACCTATTCAATTATTGACGTGACAACGTCTTATAATTCGACGAAGCTGGCTGCACGCCCGAAAAAACATGACTCATGCGGCGTTTCCTCGCTCTGAGGCGTTCCATTTAAAGTGCAAGCGAGAGCGCGGAACAAGCGACAAAGAGGCACGATCGGCCTCCGCGTTCGGCATGTTCGCATGGACAGCTGCTATACAATAGGCATGGGTAATATCACTTTTACCCTATATCAAATCGTAGCTATGTATTGGATATGAACATCCGATTTTGTATCTATATATTTCAATATCGATATATTTGTTAATATCTTCGTTCTAAAAAGAAGTCAGTACTCCAAAGAGTATAGTAATATATAAGGAAGCAGTACTCAGTATCACATGGTGATACGCAATTTATGAACAAATTTCCATATATTGATTTATAGATATATTGTATTATTATGTTATATATAAGTATTCTTAATATAATCTACTAATATAAAAAGTGATATATATATATATATATATATATATATATATATATTTATAATAGGATTCATCCTGCGAGATAATGAAAAAGAATATTAAATTTAATCGTGTCGTGTTTGTGCCATCTAGCGTATAATGTAGGTACGTACCACCTTGAGCGTTAATCAGTTTTTGTTCGATAAAATCACTTTACGTATAGAATCTAGAAGGTGGTGCTTTTGCAAAGTAGTTTTTACTCCTTTGCTCTATAGAATAATATTTTAAAAATATTTAATATTATTTTAATTTATTACTATACTTTATATACTATTTTTATATTTATACTATTTTATATATATACTATTTTTTGTTTTCGTCAAGTATGAAGTGCAGTGACAAGTGAATATGGTGTCAAATGTTTATAGCAACGATAATTGCGGCGATAAAGGTAATGAATGATTCTTTCGATATTAAATATAATATGTTCAGTGATATATTGTCGAATATTCGTGCTTTCATCATTAAAATAAATAGCATTGGTCCGCTAGTGCAGCGATTGTAGGTTATGCTATATTTGACAAAACTATAACAATAAGTTAACAGAACTATTTTACGATGTGTAAAAAATCAATTGCTTTACTATTCGATCGAAACAATTATGGAGCGTAGCTATGATTTCAAAAAATTAAAATATATCACATATCATAACAACGTGTCTGAAATGACAGGTTGTACCAGCCAGCCATCAAAGGGAACAATTTTCTCCTATATCAAACACACATTGAGACGGGCTTTTTAAAAGCTAGAGTTACAAAAATTTTAATGATGTTTCCAAATTTTAAATTTAAGATTTATGAAAAATAATTAAATCATAGTTTATTCTTATAATAAATTATTCAAAATTATTACTTTCTTTTACAAAGAAATTTAAACAATAAATTTTATTTAAGTATTTTGTAAATTTAAAATGATTTTCTGAACGAAGAATTTTATGAGAAAATTTTCTAAATTGTTTCGAACGACGATTCATTTTGCAGAACCGCTTACAATCGCACCATGCAAATACAACCTGACGAACCAGAGGATTTCACGAATGAGCCACTACCTTCGATGAGTAAACCCATGGAGGTTCAAGATGCTGTAGCATCTACTTTAGCAACGCCATTCGCGCAGCCAATAATCGCTGCACAAACTCGAACTGCTTCAAACTCGAACTGCTTCAAAATCGAAAGCACAAAAACAACGTGAGTACAGCCAGCGTATCGCAGCATCTAGAACTCCTGCTCAGGCGGCTGCTGCGAGAAAATCAAAAAACGAAAGACAACGCAACAACAGATTACGCCAAGCTGCTAACTTGCCTATTGCCAGTGGTTCTCTTGAAGCGACAACTACATCTTCATCTAGTTCAGGGAAAGAGTCGAAAAATGTTCAAACTAGAAATCAACGACAACACGCGCAACAACAATCTACCACCACTGCAGATCAACCTGATAAGCGTGTCAATCTCACAAATGAGCCACTCTTTCCGGCACTCCTGTTCCCATGGAGGTTCAAGAAGCTGTTGCACCTACCTCTACGACGCCATTTGCAAAACCAATAACTGCTGCTTCAAAAATAAGGGCACCAATACAACATGAGTACAGACAGCGGGTTGCTGCATCCAAAACTCTTGCAGCTGCAAGAGAAGCACGTAATGTAAAAGATCCAAACAACAGATTATGCCTAGCTGCTAACTTGGCTATTGCCAGTGGTTCTCTAGAAGCGACAACTACATCCTCATCTCGTTCAGGGCAAAGGTTAAACACCGTCCATATTGATACTCAACGACAATTTACCGACCAACAACGTCAAACTTTAGCAACAGAACCAGCAGAAACTACTGTACAACCAAGTACTTCTTCAGATCAAATTGAAGTTCAAGCACAATTTACTTGGAACACTAAATGGGCATCATCAATCATGAGATTCAAATCTACTTTTATGGACAACGATTTTGGCTACGCTTGCTCGGTCTGCGACAGACTTTGGTTTAGAAACGACCTTAAACTCATCACTGCAGCACAGTTGAAGGTAATTTCAGATTGGTTTATCAATGAAAATCGACAACTGAGCAGAGAAGAATATAAACTGGTTTGCAACACTTGCAAAAAGTCACTGAACAAACAATCGATGCCACCGCTAGCAAAAGTTAATGGATTCTCATATCCTGACTGGTGGTGACCAGGCCTACCACTGTTAGATCCCATCAGTGAACGATTGATTTCGCCTCGTCTACCATTTATGCAAGTGCGTCGTCTGCGCCATGATTTCTCTTACGGAATCGTAGGACAAGTGATAAACGTACCAGTCGACGTACAAGAAATGGTAAAATGTTTGCAACGACAATTGGATGAAGACGACGTTATTAATGTAAACATTAAAAGAAACCTGGCCTCAGTTTACATTAGCGGATACATGTCCAAAAGTTTACTTCGTGGTTAACTGTTCTGCAAAACTCTCCATTATATCGTTTGTACGAAATCAAAGTGGACTTGTCGAGACTGAATCTTGCTTTGCCAGACCTCGATGACGTAGAGGATGACCCGTCAAACCGTATAGAAAATATCTCCAAGAACAGAACCCTGAATCTGAGATTCTCGCTTCAAGAGAACATACCGTGATGTGGAACGAAGAAGATTGTCTCTATATCGCACCAGGACACCATGCAACTCCCCTCAACATCATTTACGACCGTCATGCAGAAGAGTTGTCATTCCCATCGATATACTATGGAAATCCACGTCGATTCCACATGGGAGTTTCAGTGACACCTTACACGATGGCAACCGTGAAATACGGCGAATCGATAGACGCGGAGCCACGCCTAAATAATCTATAGCAATGAAAATTTTGCGGCTACGTATGGTGGATGGAATTTATAGCACGTTTCGCAACGTTTCAGTCACAGAAAATATTACACGACGTATGTTAGAAGACCCAGAATTTCTGAAAGCATATGTCTTAGAAAATCTCGCATTCGTGAAGACAGTGCCAAACTTCGTCCAATACTGGGCTTCTCGCAAACGAGATCTCTTTGCCATAATTCGTCAACTTGGTAAACCAACCATCTTTCTCACTATAAGTGCAAACGAAATACGATGGATGAAATTGCTTACTATACTTCTCAGACTGAGTAATAAATATCCTGGAAAATCAGCAGGAGAACTCAACACTTCCGAGCGGTGTACTTTAGTTAGCGACAATCCTGTGACGTGCTGCATTTACTTCTACAAGCTCATCGGTTCCTTGATGAAAATGCTGGAATCCAAACAGTCCTATAATCTATTCAGAGAGTATTTTGTCATTCGTATTGAGTTCCAGCATCGAGGAAGCCCCCACGTACACATTTTATTGTGGTTAAACAACGACCCACATGAAACCCCGTCGTAAAATATGCAAAAAACCATTGAGCTCATAGAAAAATTGAGTACGGTAACCCGGAATGATGTACCTAACAATTCCATCTACGCCAACCAGATACACAAACATACTTTCACATGCACGAAGCGTGTGGAGACAATTTGTAGATTCGGAATTCCGTACTGGTCAATGTCTACGACTCGTGTATTGGTTCCAATGCCTCATTATCTGATAAACGCCGTCGAACACTACAACAGAAGGCGAAAGAGCTGCGTACTTCACTCGATGAACGTCGGTACGCGGGCATGGATGACTTTCTTGAACCTAATGTTTTGACACACGATTCATACCTCGACATTGTGTTACGCAGACCAACTCTTCTGTTCAGACGAAACTTTGACGAACTTATGACAAACACGTTCAATCCGTACATCGCTGGCGAAGTCAACTCAAACATCGACATTCAATTTATCTTGGATGAATACAGCTGCGCAGAGTATGTTGTGGAGTACGTAAATAAATCAGCTCGTGGAATGGGCAATCTACGTCGTGAGCTTACTACGATGATGCAAGAGCATCCCGAACAGGACTACACAGACCAGTTGAAAGCTTTAAGCATCAAGCTGCTTAACGCTGTCGAGATGTCAGCGCAAGAAGCAGCATGGTATCTCCTACGTCAACCAATGAGCGAGACAAGTCGTCAAGTTGCGTACATTCCAACAGTACGACCGACGGAAAGACAACGTTGCCGCAAACGTCGTCAACAAATGGACCGCGAAGGCCTTAACGAAAACAGTACTGATGTCTGGACCAAAAACATAGTCCAGCGCTATGAAGAGCGTCCTGCATCTTTAGAACAAGTGTATTTAGCTGAGTTTGCATCGTAGTATGCTAAAGCTAATGATTTCGTTGACGAGGAGGACGACGTGCACGTGGATAACGAAGAAGATTTAGAAACTAAACCCGCAGCAAGAACGTCAGGAGCACAAAATCAATACCGCAGACGACTAATCGGACGTGTCATACGATACAGACATTACGACATGGACGAAACTGTCAATTATAAACGAGAAATGGTTCTACTGTACGTACAATTCCGCAACAAAATTTGACGACAACAAAGACGCGATCATGGAATGCCGTAGTCAATTCGAGTCTAATTTGAACATTGAAAACGTCATAAGAGAACGTGAAGCGATGATGATTTTGCAAAACGAAAACAACAGTAATTTGCGGGAAGAAGAATCCAGAACAACCTTTGTTCAACAGTTGTTAGGAGAGGATGGTGCCGAAAACGTCGATGATGTTCACCAAATCGTCCCACGACAAGGATTCTCGATTGTAAAGAAACGCAGCAATGTAATGTCAAAGCAACAGTATTGTGAAACTAATCCGGAAGAACGGCAGATCATCCTTGAGGTTATACATCGATTGCATGGTTGTGGAGATTGTGTAATCTCCACAACCTGAAGCAGTTCAAATTTTCTTCACGGGTCCTGCAGGCTGTGGAAAAACTTACACGTTAAAGTGCCTCATGGAGACATACAACCGCTACACTCAGGAGTATAACTCAATGAACAACGCCTACATTGCCTGTGCAAGCACAGGTAAAGCCGCTGTACCTCTTGGTGGCACTATAGTTCATTCCGCGTTTCGTCTCACAACTTCTCGCGTGACGAAACTCTTATCCACAGAAAATTTGCAAGCTTACAGAAACATGTTCGTAGGCGTCAAAGCTGTTTTCATCGACGAGATCAGCATGTCAAGTTCAGCTATTCTTCAACAAATTAACTATCGATGACAGAAGATTACTGGCATATACGACAAACCTTTCGGAGACATTCACGTTATATTATGTGGAGATTCCAGACAGCTTCCAACTGTACGAGCAACTCCATGTTATACTATGCCGATCAACCAATTAGGAGGTCTGATTCTTTGGCACAGCATTAATTACTTCCCACTGGTTTGTGTTGTGCGACAAACCGATGAGCGGTTTTCAACGATTCTAACAAAAATCGGTGATGGACTTCAACTAAGCAACGATAATATCTCTCTTATTAAATCCAGACATAAAACTCAGGCTTGGTGCAAGGAAAACGTGCCTGATGCTGTCAGGCTGTATTATAGTAACAATGAAGTGGATTCGTACAACCAAAGCGCAATTCTAAATGCAAAAATTTGTCTCGCACATGATATTATGCTTGGTTTTTCAAGTGAACAAGAGAAGAGACAGTACCAAGGTAAACTACACAAGATGAGAGTGGCAGAAACCGATGGATTACCGTTCCTGCTGCCATTGGCAGAAGGATATCCCTACATGATAACTTCTAACTTAGATGTCGCTTATGGGTTGGTAAATGGAGCTATTGGTGTCTTGCGACATATCGAACGTCAGCAGCCAAATGTAGATGACAATTCTGCAGAAGCAGGACCATCGACTAGTACAAATTCGCCAGCAGCTAGAGAAGAAATTGTTACTTTATGGTTCGAGTTTCCAGAAGAAACAGCAGGAACCAGAGCAAAAGTTAAATGTCGACCTCACGTGCAAAGCAAGCCAAACACTTTTTCTACAAATTGGTTGTCTACAAAGAAAATAGTAAACATTACACTAACAAAAACTATAAAATGCAAACGAAAACAGTTTCCTTGCGTTCCTGCTTGTGCCATCACTATTCAAAAGTCACAAGGTGAGACGTTTGCTGTCATTGTTTATAAATACTCATCCAAGCAACCGCAACAGTTGGTGTACGTGGCGCTGAGTCGGGTAACAAGTATAGAAGGCTTGCATATTATCACCGAAAAAGATGCTCCATTTCGCTTTAAACACGGACGGGAGGGAAACGATTCACAGACAACAAGAGATATCCGTAACGAATACATTCGACTTCGTGAACACACACTTCGAACAATTACTGATAATGCAGTAAAATTCTGTAATGACTCAAACAATACAGGACAAACTTTAATAACGAACCTTAATTCACAGAGTTTGCCTGCTCACTTTGCAGATATTGAAAAAGACACAGTGATTCCAAGGTCTGATTATTTGATTTTGACTGAAACGTGGATGCGTGACAACTGTGATCCAATTTCAATTGAAAATTTTGTATGTGTAACCCGGCAGAATAATCGACTAGATTCTGAAAAAAAAACGCAGCAGGTGGAGTGGCATTTTATAGAAACTTATCATCGACATCCACGGCCAAAATTCTTAACGTTGAACTGTCGAATACAACGCGCTTGCTTGGCAGAAGTTACATGCTTCACCGCTGATACCACGTTTAAACTGGTTCTTGGCGCAGTTTATATTCATCCTGGAGCAAGTATATCTAACATCAGTGTTCTGCTGCATCAAGCACTATTTCCGTATGTTTATAACAGCCAGTATGTACATCCCATCATTGAAGTTGATACCGATGTACCAATTCTTCTTTGTGGCGACTTCAACACAAACGTGAAAAATGACGAAACATTTCTCATATTCATGAAAGACATGTTCAATCTCGATTGTACATCAGACGTTAATAAGTCAACAACACTAAGAGGCACCACCATCTATTTGACTTTTTCAAGACACATTACACTCGAAACACTCCCTTTCATTTCCTACTTTTCCTATTATCGTCCTATTCTCACCACAATAACACAAATTTTAAGAAGTTAAATATCACACATGTTTAAAAGTTGTAAATAAAAGTTGTAAAGCTCAAAGCACATTCAAACTTGTAAAAACTATGTACATTGTTAAAAAAATTGTATTTATGCGTACAAATAAATGTAACTTGATCAATTCAATTGTGATTTCCATTTACCTCCTTCTCTATATCCATACAAAATATCTATCAAACAAATAAAATTAAAATTTTCTTTAGAAAAATGCAACCATTCCAATAGTATTTTCTTGTGACGTTGTCACGTTCAACTATCGTCAGTAAACTGACTTTACAGACAACCGATTTTTTTAATGAAACATTTCGATAAGTTTTTTACCAAAAAGTATTAAGTAAAAGTATCATAAGTAAAAAGTATCATATTGAATAATATTCAAATAAAATTTCCTTAATTGTGTATTAGTTATAATGAAGAGATTTATTTTCAAATTGCAATACATGATCGTAAATGTATTACGAAATAATTATGAATAAATAAATAATAATAACATATTACATTTTATCTTATCTTAGCTTCGAATCAAAAGATGGTGAAGCGTATAATAAAGTAATAAGAAAATTCAATCTAGTAGTGTTAAAAAAATGCTAATAGCCGTTACACAATTGGATTCTATTAAAACAGTTATCACCGGATCTGGTTGAAAATACGGGACCTTATAAATGCCTTATATGTATAAATAAAAATGTAACATTGCATTTATACATATAAATAACTTAAAATAAAAAATTTTGTACAGCCGACTTCAATATAAGTTATTAAGAATAACTCAAAAACTATTGATCTGACCTTGTTCAAATTCATATGGGACCACACGAGATATATTAGCTTTCATATAAAAAAAGAATCATCGAAATCGGTTCACCCAGTAAAAAGTTATGAGGTAACACAAATAAAAAAAAAACAAAAAAAAAATACAGTCGAATTGAGTACAGTATCCTTTTTGGAAGTCGGCAGAAATAAGAATCTCCTATTTTAAGTCGATCTAAAATAGGAAACTACGCGTACTTTGAGTACGTTTTATTGAAAGAAACTGCTCTGAGGCAGTTTTTTCGAACGTGTCCTGTATAATGTCAGAACTGACGAAATTAAAAATAACGAAAATAAATACTTAAATGAGAAAAGATCCAAATGGATGTCGAGGAATGAATAATCCAAGCAATAACCGCATCTGACGATATTGATATGTTTTTCAATAAATGATGGTTCACAAATTTGTTTTGCTTGTTGACTATTTTTCATTTCTTATGTTTACATTATTTAATAATATAATATTATATATTATATTATGATTTTAGCGGAAACTAATGCCATGCAGATAATTTTAAAAGGATTTAGGGAAAGTTTCTTAAATTCTC